CCACCTTTTCAAGTCTGTCCCAATGCCACCTCCTCCAGGAAGCTGTCCCAGATTCCCCAGCCCTTGCTCTTTGGCCAGGATTCCCTTTTCTCGCCTGTGATGACATTTGGTTCCAGCTGCTATGAGTAGTTCATTTTGACGGGCCTTGATTCACTGACCAGTTCCTGCCCTCGGAGAGCTTATTTAGAGTTCTCTGAGGCAGACAGATGTCAATGCACCGCACCACTCCTGCCATATGGGTTAAGGTCATGGTGATGGTAGGTGTGGGAGGAAGTGGGTCCTCAGAGGAGGGCTCCCATCCCAAGCCAGGAGGGCTTCCTGGGAGAGGATGCAGCTACTCTGTGCTCACAACCAAATGACACAGTGGATTGTTAGCACCTAGTTTGTGACCCAGTGCATAGTGGGTTCCTTGGGAGTGTTTAACATTCCAATAGAATGTGCAGCTGCACCTCCCACATTAGACAGCTTCCTGTCACCTATGTGGAGGAAACCTAGAAGGGAAAAAAATCTGCAAAACTCTGAATACATTCCATAGTCCTTACAGGCAGGGCCTGTAGTCAGTTCTGCTCTGTTCAGCCTGTTTCTCAGTGGATCCCAAGCTAGAAATGAAAAGAGAGAATCTAAGGACTAGAGTAAGATGGCTCATCAGGAAGTTTGGTCCCAACAGAAAGGTTGGTAGACTAGAAAATGCAGACAGAAGGTCTCAAAATGCCCATCGGGATCCAAGAGATCACTCTATAAGAATATAGCCCCAGTCACACACTGGATGGGATGGTCATCAAGAAAAATTGAAAACTGTAGTTGTCAACCCTGGCTGTGCATTAGATCCATTTGGGAGCTTTAAAAACACTGATGCCCTGGCCCGACCCCCCAAACCAATTAATCGGAATCCTGGGGGTGGGGCCTGGAATCCTCAGGTGATTCAGAGGCCAGGGGTAGCGCTCCACTGCCTTAAAACATTCCCCAGGGGAGAGGCAGGGCAGCGCAGAAGCCAATATGGGAACATGTTTCAACAGAGATGGTTAAACTAAGGCGAGTCGTGTACTTAAAAGGTCATCTTCAGTTATCCAAGTTCAGCTTTGCAGAACAGCTCACAGAAAGGGCTGGAGAATGTAGAGAATGGAATACAAGCACTGGTGACAGTCAGATGCTCACACCACTTAGTGCGAGTTACTGGGCGAGTTACTGAATATCTCTGAGTCTCATCTGTAAAATGGGAACAATCATAGTTCCAGTCCCAGAGGGCTGCTTTGAAAATTAATTAAAATGAAGTAGAAAAAGTGCCCAGTGTTCAATAAATATTGATTCAGAAGGTTCCAGACACATGAGGCATCATTGTGCAAGAGAGGGTCCTTAATGCCCCTTCACATTCTTACACATTAACATTATTGTTTTTAGAGGAAAATATCCAGCTCATAGATAAGTCATCCCTGGGTGAACAGTGGGTAGACTGACTCAGGGGAAAGCTGGTTATGTTTCTAGGGAGAAGAGCTGAGATCCTAGAAACAAGGAGTTTCAACAATTCTGGGTCCCTTTATTTCACAACCGCCGTAGAGGCTTCGGGCCCTGAGCTGGGCGCTGGGAGGTGATCTCTAGCCATCCTCACCAAAAGGCGAAGCTTGGCTTCAGGGCATCTCATTTCTTCCGGCTGGACCTTCCTGCCTTCATCAGACAGACAGTAGGTGCGCCTCTGTGCCTGGCCCTGAGCTGGGCGCTGGGAGGTGATCTCTAGCCTCACAAAACTCCTTGTTGAGCGGGAAGCCTGGCAAGGCTGCCAGTAGCTACCAGACACAGCAGAGAAGCCTCCTGAGGCTGCAGAGGAGCGAGGCCAGGCATTCGGGGGGAAGAGTAGCCCAGGGGCGCCCATGGGTTACGGTGACTCTCTCCATCTCCTCCTAAAATCACTGCTCTTCTACCGATGCAAGTGCTGCTCCACCCTGTACTAGTCACTCTTCAGTTTTCCCATCTGTAAAATGGGGATAAGGGACCAGAGAGGTTAATTCAATGATTCCCCTAGGTCCCTGCTTCAGAGAATTTTGTGAAATGAGTCCTATGGCCTACATTCACGTTTTAATTAAAGATTACAGCAAGCTCTGTTCGGAAAATTTCACAACTGGCCTTGGATCCATCTGGCTTTTCCTCTGGGGTGGGTGTAGGGGGGACAAGTGGAACAATGAATGACGGGTGTCATGTGATAAAGGAAGAACTTCCTTTCTCTTCGATCTTCTTTCTCAGCTCAGTCCCACCTCAGTCCAATGCAAAGCTGTCTAGCACGGTGAGCCCCAGACTCATCTGGGAGCTTGGCTGGGGCTGGGAGACGGTCACCCAGCTTCTGGCCACATTTGAGAGCAGCTTTGTGACAAGAGCTGATGATCTCCATGATAAATGAGTCCCTGAAGAAACCCTTGCATCACGAAGTTGAGTGTTTGCAGTTAGTCTTGAGAGGAGGACGGGAGGAGAGGTGGCGGTTGGGGCGGGATGCAGAAGGCATCCAGCAGCCCTCTCATCAGCCTCCCTTCCTCTTTCCTGGCTCCTTCTCTTCCCACTGACAGTTGCTGAGCTCCTACTGTGTGCGGGCCCCTGTGCACAGGATAGGGGTGGGCAGTAGGTAGTGGAGAGGGACAACCACAAGGGTCAGCAGGAGATAAGAGTCTGAATAACTCTGAGTCTCAGTGGGGGAACTCAGACTTTATTCTGAGGCCCCAGGGAGTCAGGGCAGGATTTTCCCACAGAGAATGGCTAGGATCAAAGGGAGGAGTGGATTGAAGAAGCTTGAACCCAGAACAAGGGTGTGCACGGGAGGGTCCCCTGATTGCTCAATGTTACTTTTATTCACTCTCAAGGAGCACTTCTTGAGGGTCTGCTCATCCCTTTCCACAGCACCAGGCTGGTCAGCACCCCTGCACACTGCTCAGGCTCAGGAGAAAAATGTATGGAAAGGGCATGCCTGCATTTGACAAAGCCTCCTTTGTGGTGCGCTGTGGTGGCATGGTGCTCTGCTGCCCTCTAGCGAAACCTGGAGAAACACCCCAGCAGGGGCCAGCTGGCTGCCAACATGCTCCGAGTCTCCCGCATGTCTTCTTTCCCCTGTCTCTCCCTCAACCACGGAGGTTCTGTTGTTCCTAATGAAAAGGTACAGTTTGGGAATAGAGGACAGGCTCGGAACATCCAGTGCTTGGAACATTTGACCCAGGTTGGGCCCCCACAAACAGTTCATCACACCCCAACATGCACATATCCCTTGTCTCTGCACTTATCTCAAAATCCCTTCGGTGTGGCTCACCTCAGGCCAGTTTGAGGTGGACAGCAGTCTGATTAACTCAAAACACACTAAGATATGAATAACTGATAGTCCTTAATCCTTTTAAGGGAATTTAAAGGAGCTACTTGTTCACTTACTGGGTTTACAGCTGAAAAAGGCAGCCCGGAAGAGCAAATAGCACCAGGACTTAGCTCACAGTTGTGGGTTTAAACCTCTCGGTTTCACCTTCTCCTTAGACAGCCTCCCTGCCTACTCATTTTCTTGTTTTTCATGTAAAAAACAGAAATAGTAATCCTTGTCCTAGCCACTTCAAGGATTAAAATATATATAATAGATTAAGGAATTTCTGAATCGAAAGGAATTTTGAGATCATCTAGGGATTTTTATTTTGGCTTTTAGATAATTCTGTACAATTTGTGACTCTCAATTACAGATGCTCCTTGACTTACGGTAATAAGCCTACAGTAAGTCGAAAATACATTAAGTCTAAACGCATTTAATTCTACGCTGTAAAGTATTAGCTGTTTACCCTCGTGATAGTGTGGCTGACTAGGAGCTGTGCTCACTGCCACTGCCCAGCATCATGAGAAAGTATCACACCATATATCACTAGCCCAAGAAAAAATTCAAAATGCAAAATTTGAATTATAGTTTCTACTGAATGCTTATTGCTTTTGCGCTATCATAGTCAAAAAATCGTAAGTTAAACCATTTTAAGTCAGGAACCATCTGTACACTGTCTTACTGAAATTTCAGAGCAACTCTGTAAAATCATTAATTTCTTTCTACAAGAAAGAAACAGGTTAAGAAAGGGGAAAATGACTTGCCCAAGGCCCTCTGGGATGTTAGCAGCAGAGCTGGGGACAGTGGCTCTTTGCTATACCTAACTCTTCCTATAGATCCTGCTAGAAGATCCTATAACCCTCACCTAAGACCCTTACCTCCCTGCCCCTACAGGCCTCTGAACACTCCTCCAACCCCCTGCATCCTAGATAGCACACTTCCCAGACAGACTGAGATTTCTCTGCCTGGTACCCAGCAGGGAGTCTGGCTCTGAATAGGCGAGTGCCCCACCCCAACACAATCTACACACATCTCTGCTACTCTCATCGGCCAGTCCAGGAGAGGGTTAAACAACAGTCCTGACCTTGGTATTGGAGAAGCAGGTGGCCGATGTTTAACTAGAGGCTTCTGGGACTGCTGTCAACTAAAGTCAGGAACTCAATCCAGCCATGGTCTTCTTAGAGCTGAGACCTAGCCCTTCCCACCCCTCTAGGCTTCTCCCCTCCCTGGTCCCTGGATTGTGAAGTAGCTGGAGCTGCCAGGGACTGGAAAGGCGAGGTGCTGGGGGTGTGAAAATTACAAAACTGGAGGAATATGTGGATAGAGTAGGAACAGCCTTGTCCATGCTCTGCCCAGGCTTGCTGTGTGGCCTTGGCTGAGTCCTTCCCACCCCTGCCTTGTATTCCCATCTGTGCACAGAGGAGGCTGGTCTGGGTGGTCCCCCCTGATGGTACTAGGCAAGAGCAAGGGCTCCTCAGACTCCCCGACCCCCTAGCTAGGGGTCCTCTAGCTTGGGAGAGACTTTCTCCACCACAGCGGTGGGGGTGGGTAAATCTTTAACTAGCTGGCCCTGGGCGGGCCTGGGCCTTTCCGGATGGATGGCTGCCTGAGAAGCGGGGACAGGGGTGGGGGATGTAAGGTGTGTAGCCAGTCCTAGTGCGGTGGAGAAGGGAGGGTAGTGCAGAGGGAAAGGAACGAGGCGGAGCTAACTCCGTGTGCAAAGCAGGACATGGAGGAACTTGGGTCCCCCGACGGGTAAGCAGAGAATCTGGGTGGTTCCAGGAGCCCCTTGGCGCAGGGATGATTTAACTCACCTTGCTACCACAGGGATCCCGCACGGAGCCTGGAGCGGGGGCCAGAGAGGCCGGAAACGCCCATCCAGGTAGTCCTCAGGTGAGAATAGGTTGGCTAGGAGGTGCCCGAGAGAGGAAGGGAAGGGGCTGATGGAAACATCGGATGGACCATTCGCCCTCCCGTCGGACCCCAGGGTGCGTCCCATGAGCGCGGCCGAGCTGCGTCGAGGGGAGCAGAGCGCTCTACATTGCTCAGGGACCAGGACTCTGCAGGTGAGGAACTTCCCTCCCCCTTACTCCCCCCGCCCCCCAAAAAAACTATCCAGAGGACGCCTCGTTTGTTGCCCCAGACAACTTTGCCCAGACCCCGCCCTCCGCAGGCCCCGCCCCTTCTCCACTGCCCCTTCCCCTAGGTGAGCCCCCCGGGCGGGGGCCCAGACGTAGCGTTCCGCTTCGGCGCAGTGTTGGACGGGGCGTGCACGCAGGAGGACGTGTTCCGGGCCTGCGGTGTGCGGCGCCTGGGGGAGCTGGCGCTGCGCGGGTGAGTGAGGCCCCGGGGATGCTGCGCACCCCCGCGCTGTCCTTACGCTTCGGTCGAGCCCGGACCCCCGCCCTCTGCCTGGGTCCAGCCGCACCCCTGCCACCTGCAGCTTCTCCTGCACCGTCTTCACCTTCGGCCAGACCGGCTCCGGGAAGACCTACACCCTGACCGGGCCTCCTCCCCAGGTGGGCCAAGCGTAAGAGGAGCCCCCGGGGGTCAGGGGTTGGTGAGCTGGAAGCTCCGGGGAGCCGGTGGGTGCGCAGACTCCCAGAGGGTAGGGCCTTGGACAGTGTAGCCCAACCCCATGTATTTGCAGATAAGGAAGCTGAGGCCCAGGGAGGTGAAGGGACCTGCCCAATATGGAGTTCGAATTTTGTCCCCTTCACTTACAAGCTCTCGGTTTCTTCGTCTGTAAAATGGGAGTGATATTGCTGAGTGTGAGAATTCAATGAGATGTCGTATGGGAACGTGGCCTAGTTCCTGGGGCAGAGTAAGGGCTCTCCGAAGCACAGCTATTACTGTGGTGGCGGTGGTAGTGGTGCTGGTGACCCAGCCTCAGGCTCAGCTGTCTCTGCCTCCAGGGAGAGGGGGTACCCCTACCCCCCAGCCTGGGTGGCATCATGCAGAGGACCTTCGCCTGGCTGTTAGACCGCGTGCAGCACCTGGGCGCCCCTGTCACCCTCCGTGCCTCCTATCTGGAGATCTACAATGAGCAGGTGGGGGGGACTAAGATGAATAGAAAGACAGCCCACAATTGAAAGAAGGCATTTCTTCCCAAGGAGCCTGGGTCAAGGGACAAAATAGGTGTGTGTTGGGGGGCGGGGGAGGGCTGTGGTCAGTAGGGTCTGGGGTGGATGGAACATGGACTCGGGGATCCTTCCCTCACCCGCCACCCTCGTCACCCAGGTTCGAGACTTGCTGAGCCTGGGACCTTCCCGGCCCCTCCCTGTCCGCTGGAACAAGACCCGGGGCTTCTATGTGGAGCAGCTGCGGGTGGTGGAGTTTGGGAGTCTGGGGGCTCTGATGGAACTTCTGCAAATGGGTTCGTGCTGCTTCAGAGGAGCTTTGGGGTCCTGGGGAGGCCCATCCCTCGACCGTTCCCTGACTGCACTCAGCACCCCTGGCTGGAGCTGGGGATTCAGACATGACCCTTGTGGGAGCAAAGGGCCAGCACACCAACAATTCAGACACAAGGATGGCCCCATCCCACCCCCAGGCCTGCTGATCCACCTTCCAAACTCTTTCCAGGTCCACTCTTTCTCCAGGCGAGAGCCTCGGCCTCAGGCCTCTTTTTTGCTCCCTGGAGAGGTCATCTCACCTCAGAGCTTCCCGGCTCCAGTCATGCTCTTCCATGCAGCAAACCACGTCCCTCTTCCTCTCCAGATCCTCCGGACCCTAGGCAAAGGTCATACCTCCTTAACCCAGCCTATAGGGCCTCTCCGTTCCAGTCTCATTCATTCATTCATTCATCAAGTATTTATTGAGCATCCCCCTGTGGCAGCCATCGGGGACACTGAGACTGGGTTTCTGCCCCAGTGTTGTGCCACACCTTCCAGGTGATCTTTCTGCGCCCTCTCCTTCCCTCCACACCACGACAGGAGGGACATTGACCAGATATGAATCCGACATTCTTCTGTTCACTTCCGTCCATCCTTCTCTCACCCGTCTGTGCTAGAACCGTACCCCACCTCCCATCATTCCCCTCTCCTGCCGCTGTGCCTTTGCACAGGCTGGCCCCTCTATTAGTATGCTTTTCCTCCTTTGCTTTCACTGGTGACCACCTGTTCTTCCTACCAGGTCCAGCTCCTGATGCTTTTTCCCTTCAGGTCTTAGTCGTCGAAGGAGCTCAGCTCATACTCTGAACCAGGCCTCCAGCCGAAGCCATGCCCTGCTCACACTCTATATCAGCCGCCGAACTGTGAGTGCTCCAGCCTGGGGAAGGAGCTGGCCCAGGGCCAGCCAGCAGGGGTCTCCCTCTGGGTGTATAAACCAACTTGGCATGCAAGGGGGTCCTAGTGGAAACCTTGGCTGTGTGACTTTGACGGAGACAGTTCCTCCCAATTCCCATCACGCCGCAACCCCCTAGTCCCAGCAGGTGTCTCCCATGGATCCTGGGGAACACCCTGTAGGTGGGAAGCTGTGCTTTGTAGACCTGGCCGGCAGTGAGAAGGTGGCAGCCACAGGATCCCGTGGGGAGCTGATGCTCGAGGCCAACAGCATCAACCGTAGCCTGCTGGCCCTGGGTAAGACCTGGGGGCCAAGTCTGACTTCCTGTGTCCCCCTTATTGCCTGACCTGCAGCTGTCCATGGAGAAGGGGTGGTGAGGAGGTGGAACCTGCGGAGTTGTAGTATGTGGAAGAGAATTAAAGAGCTGTGAGCCAGGAGCCACAGGCCCCCTTCTGGCCTCAGCTTGACTCATGCCTCCCCTCTTAGGACTTTGTCGATGACTGTTTAAACCCTATAAACTTTATTCTATTAGAATAAAGTTACATTCCAACTTGGGAGGTAGACACACTCAGGGGCAGAGTGTGAGCCCTCAGACATTCAGCTGGTCCCTTGTGCAGTTGGGAAGACTGAGGTCCAGTGAGAGGGAGAGAACTGGCCTGTCTTCCCACCTCCACTCCCCGTCATCGGCCCTTCCTCTGCACATGCGTGGGGAGACACTCAGGGAGCTCCTCTTCAGTTAATTTGGCAGACATTTCCTGAGCCCCTGCTGAGTGCCGGACCCTTTGTTGGCTATTGGGAGTCTAGGCTGGACAGAGCCATCTTTGCCCTCAAGAGCCCCAGTCTGGTGGCAGAGGCCAGTTTGAAAGAGGAATAAGATCATTTGGAAAGAGGGATTTTGGAGTCACACAGGCCTGGGTGAAGATTCCTGCGCTGCGTGGACCAGATGGGTGGTCTTGGGCAAGGGGTGTAACATTGCTGGGCCTTGCTCTCCCCACCCAGGTCACTGCATCTCCCTGCTGCTGGACCCACAGCGGAAGCAAAGCCACATCCCCTTTCGAGACAGCAAGCTCACCAAGCTGCTGGCGGACTCACTGGGGGGGCATGGGGTCACCCTCATGGTACCTGACGGGGGCTGGCAGGGAGGGCCAGGGCCTGAGGGAGGGGCTCCCGGAGAGAAACACTCAGGCCATCTTCCCCAGGTGGCTTGCGTGTCCCCCTCAGCCCAGTGCCTTCCTGAGACTCTTAGTACCCTGCGATATGCCAGCCGAGCTCAGCGGGTCACCACTCGGCCACAGGCTCCCAAGGTGAATGTAGGAAGACATAGGCAGAGGGACAGCATGGCAATGGTTGGGGATCAGGCAGAAGCTGGAGCCTGAGCTGGTGTCATGGTTGAAGTCTGAGACTGAGTCAGAGTTAAGATTAGAGCTGGAATCCTGATGATGGGGTCGTGATTGGGTAGGGTGGGCTCGGCATCAGGGTCATGGTCAGTGTTACGGCAGGTCTAAGGTTGGAGTCTGATCTGGGATATGATTCAGGGTCTAGCCTGGATCCCAATTGGTATTATTAAGTCTGAGTTGAGTTGGGGCCTGATGTAGGGTCCTGTTTGGAGTCAGGATCTGGGCCAAGGTTTGAACAGAACTGAGTTTATGGTGTGACATGGAGCAGGGTCCAGCTTAGAGTGGGCCCTCCAGCCATGCAGCTAAGGCCATAGGCACTTTGATGCAATAAGACAAGGTGCCCTTTCCAAGTGGATATAGCCCTGTGCCAGGATGCAAGGCTGATGAGTGAAGCATGGGCTGGTTTTGAGGCTACACTCACTCCCCACTCCCAGAAGCCCTTGTGCAGTGCGCAACTTATACAACCGTAAATTGCAGCTCAGGGCCTCTTTCTCTGCAGTCTCCCATGGCAAAGCAGCCTCCGCGCTTGGAGACCGAGGTGTTGCAGCTGCAGGAGGAGAACCGTCTCTTGCGGTCCCAACTGGGCCAAAGGGACGTCAAGGGTATGCACTCCCTGGGGGTCGGATGAGGCGTGGAGAGGGTCTGGGGCTCCCGTGGACCCAGCCACCTCCCCGTTCCCTGCAGTCTCCGGATTCAGTGGGAGCCGGGTGGCCTGGGCCCAGCGGAACCTCTACGGGATGCTCCAGGAGTTCATGCTAGAGAATGAGAGGCTCAGGTAGGGCTCAGCCCCAGCCAGGGGACTCTGCCCACCCCTCACTGCTGGGCTGCTTCTGGCAAATCGCACTCTGCCCCCCTTACCCCCCACCCCCAGCTCCCTTCTGTCCCCACCTGCCTGTTGGAGCTAGTACACGCAATGAGAGGCTGACTGATACTCCGACCAACCCTGCCTCCTGTCACCTTCCCGGGGCCTGTTCTTCCCAGGAAAGAAAAGATCCAGCTGCAGAGTAGCTGGGACCTGGCCCGGGATGAGCAGCGTGTCCTGACACAGCAGGTCCATGAGCTGGAGCGGTGAGCGTGGCTACCAGCCCAGAGATGGGCCCTGGAACAGAGGGCAGGTGGGAAAGAGGTGGCTTGAGGAAATGGTTGAGAGTCTGACCTCTGGACCCAGGCCACCTGAGCTCTGGTACCTACTGGCTGTGTGACCTTGGGTGAGTCATGTAACCTCTCACTGCCTGGGTTTCCTCATCTGTAAAATGGGGGTAATACAGTACCCACCTTACAGGGTGTTTAAAGACTGGATAAAATGAGTCCATTCGTAAAGCATTACAAACAGTGCCTGGCACTTAGTGTTCGTTAAAAGAGGGGACATGGGGACCAGCCCGGTGGTATGACTGAGGGCTGAAGGCACAGACCCCATTGTTCTCTTTCAGCCGCCTCTTCTCCGCCTGCTGCCTTCACCAGCCAGGCCGTGGCCCAGCCCCACCATGTCCCTGTGTGATGGTGCCAGCTCCCTCCTGCCATGTGAGTCTCTACACAGCCGGAAGTGGGAAGGAGCAAGGATGATAGGGAGCCTCTGACATGCCCTGTTGCAGGCCCTGCCACCCCTCTGCTCCTGCCCCTGCTGTCATCTCTGCCCCCTGTGCCGAGCACCACTGGCCCACTGGGCCTGTCCACAGAGGAAGCTCCACCTGCCCCAGGTAGGAAAGACCAAGGTAGGGATGAGGGAGATCTGGGAGAGCTGGAGGCCTTGATCTAGGTGGTCAGTCCGGGAGGCTCCAGAGCTCCAGGGCCTCTAAGGTCCCAGGCTGGGTCAGTGGGGTGAGTGGCTGGTTTGGGGCTCCCTCTGCCTAAGGTTCAGAATAGCTGTTTGCCTTGCCTCCCCTTCCTCCTCATCCCACCTTCTTTCATGGGAACTCACTCTGCCATTCGCTCACTCATTCATTCACTTACCTATTACTCGTTTATGCATTTGCTGATTCCTGTGTTCGCTCGCTTGTTCACTGACTCTCCTTTCAGCTCCTTGCTTTGTCTTCTACCTGCTCTGGGCACTGAGGACTCAGGTATCAACCAGAGTTCCTGCCCTCTGAGAGGACATTACAAGGGCCACACACTGCCCACAGAAAGAGCAACAAAGACCTTGCCTCGTTATGCCCACCAGACGTTCTTGGTGTCCTGTGGGGCAGGTGTGGCAGGGATGGTGGTGTTGTGGTCAGCACAAAGAGGCAGGGCTTTGGTCTTGCCTGCAGGTGTTTGGCCCTAAGGCCCCAAATGGCATGTCCCCCTCTGTCCAGCCCTCAGCCTGGGCACCCCCGTGCAGCCCTGGCTCTGTCAAGTGCCAGAGAGAGAGGTAGGCTGGGCGCTGGAGCACTGGGCTTGGGGAAGAGGAGGCCTGGGAACTTGAAAGCTCACCTCCCACCACCCAACTCACCTCGCGCAGGAGTCACAGCGACTGGACTCAGACCCAAGTCCTGGCGGAAATGCTGACCGAGGCGGAGGTGGTACCCTCTGCACCTCCCCTGCCCGTGGGGCCCCCGAACACATCACCGGTGCTGAGAGGTGAAGAAGGAAAGAGGGAGGAGCCCCTAATGCTTTCTGTGGTCTTGGGCCTGAACCCACCCTTTCCAGACCTTATTCTTTCCATCTTTGAAATAGGGTGCATGTTGAGAAGTGATTTCTAAGACCTTTCTAGTTTCCAAACTTGGAATTCTCTTCCTAGGGCCACCTGCAATCCCAGATGGGTATCAAGAGCCCACGGTGTATGTGGGGGAGGGGGGAGGAGAGAGGGTACCACCTGAGGCTTCCCCAGAGGATGTTGGGACCCTGATGGGCCTGGGCAAGGAGGGGCCCAGGTAGGGAGGGGCCCAGGGTAGTAGTGCAGACCTCGAGTCTCATCGTGCCCCTTAGGTGGGGCCACGGTTCCAAACCTGGCCCGGAGACTGGAGGCTCTCAGAGACCAGATTGGCAGCTCTCTGAGGCGTGGCCGGCACCAGCCACCCCCGCAGTGAGAACGCACGGAGCCCCATCCAAGTCCTGCCTCACTGCTGAGGGCAAACCGGAAACCCAGGAGACCACCATGTGACCTTAGGCTGGGCTCTGAACGCCAGGGTTCGTCTCCTCATCTGTCCAATGGGGATAGCAGCTGCCGTTCCACTCCGCAGCACGCAAGGACAATTCCTGAGGGCCAGGGGGTGGGGGCTAGAGAATAATTTGGGGAAGTAAAGGGAGGGTGCCACCCCAGACTACAAGAAATGAGACTGGATTCAGGAGAAAGCAGGCAGCAGGTGATGAAATATTTGTATCAATAAAGAGAGGCCTCAGCTCCAAGTCTGGTTATGGTTAGTCCTGTCCTCCAGGTAGTCAGTCACTTCCCATGAGGACATCCCAGAGGGGGTTGGGGTTGGGGCTCAGGGGAGTCTAAAGAAGAGGAGACAAAGACACTGGGGGGGCGTTCAGGGGAGTCTAAAGAAGAGGAGACAAAGACACTGGCAGAGATGTGTGTCCCCTTCTGATCAGAAATAGTCCAGGTTCCCATCTCATGTATGATGCAAGTTTTAGTTGAACTACTGCTGTGTCCCACTGGGCAAGTGTGGGAATCAAAGGGTGAGCACCCCCAGGAAGGAAGCCTGATGGAAACTGGTGAGGCCTCAAGCTGGGGCAGGTGGCAGACTAAGGGGCTCGCTTCTCTGTGCCAGCTGCATGTGGCCCGGTGCTGCAGGGGTCATGAGACCTGAGTTCTGATGCCACAGACCTGCTCTGAGACCCCGGTGAAGCCTTGCACCCCCCCGGACCACTTTCTGGTTTCAGTTGCATGGGGGACATGGCTCCCTGTCCTGTTGCCCTCTAATGAAGGTCAAGGAGGTGAGCAGTCTCATCATCCCTGGTATAGTGCCCAGGGGGATGCAGTGGGTCTATCATTATGGGGAAGTGTAGGCCTGACATGAGAAATTGGGGGTGCCAGTGAGAGAACCTCATTACGAAAAGCCGTCAGGCTGACCTAACTCTCCCATTTTGTAGTTAGGGAGACTGAGACCCAGATGGCTCATTTCTTCATTGGTTCATAAATTCATTCATTCAAAAACACCACTAGCATCAACTGCAGATCAAGGTGGTAAACAAGACCGACAAGGAGCAAGCTGGCTTTGCGCAAGGAGCTCCCAGTCGGGGGCAGGGGGACAGACAGGCTGACACTTAACCTCACACATGTGCTTTGACAGGGAAACCCAGGGGACTGGAGGCATGGAGGAGGGTCACCCAAGGAGAAATTGTCAAGGGGGTCAGGGAAGGTTAGCCGAAGAGAGTTATGATTAAGGCTCCAAGGATGAACAGCGGCTGGCCCAGGGCAGGATGAGGCCACAGAGGCAAAGGCCCAGAGACCCCTGGGGTGCCGAAGGTGGCCAGCGTCAGGAAGTGCATGGCCCTGTGGGGCGCTTCCAGAGTTTGGGCTTGTCCCGAGGGCAGGGGAAGCCACCGAAGGGTCTTGAGGAGTCACCAGCTTAGATTTGCTCTTTGGTCACACTGGCCACTGTGGCAGGTGGACTGACTGGTGAGGACGAGCTGGAGGCAGGGGGACCAATGAAACCAGCAGTGTGGGGAGGGACATGACTAACCAGAAGTGCCCAAGCCAGGCCTCAAGTTTGGACTCTCTTGACATGGGGCCCTGGGTTCAAGCAAGGCCCTGGGCAGGCCGGCCTGCACCACAGGTGCGGGGAACACTGGGGAAGGAGTGAGCCAAGGCCAGAGGGCGAGCCAGGGGCACAGCCGGGAGTAGCAGGGAGCCTGGGGATGGCCCTGGGGTCTCAGCCATCATCTGGACAGTGCTCAGACTTGCCCACAGGCCTGGCCTAAGGAAATCAAATCCCATTGTTCCCACCCCACTACCTCGTGCAAGACCAAGAAAGAAAAGACCCAGCATTCTCCTGCACATCACTGCTCTGGAAGACAGTGCTGGGGATATGCTCTCATTATGCCCGCCTTTCTCCAGAGGAGTGAGGACCCACAGAGAAAAGCGGGGTGCCTCAAGGGCACAATCGAGCATGCTCTGTGACTCGGGGCAGGCTATGGGCCTTTCTGATTCTTCCCCACTGCAGGGCCTCTGACTTCTGAGTATCTCTCTGCAGGGCTGGTCCCTGAAGCTGGGGCCAACAGGGTCAGCCCAGGTTGGAGCCCCCAGCGGCCAGGAATTGAAAAGCAAGACTTTGTGGAAAACCAGCGTCCACAGAGGCAGAGCCCAAGGACGTGGGTTAACGGCAGATAATACAGGCAGCTGGACCAGGCAGAGGTGACCATGGTTAAGTCCACAGACTGAGCCACACAAGTTCAAATCCCAGCGTCATTTATCTGTGAGTGGTCTTGGGCAGGTGACTTAACTGCTCTGAGTCCGAGTGTCCTCATCTGCAGAACGGAAACAATAAAATTAGCCCCTCGTGGAACGGGGATTAAATCCACTGATACATGGAGAGAGGTTAGCACAAGGCTTTGCCTGTTGCAGGTGGTTTGGCCAAAAGCAACTTGCAGTCGACATGGCAATTTGATGAAATTGACAATTTGAGTTTAAAAAAATAATAACAACAAATATTTATTGAGAACCCACTTTGGTCCAGCATTGAACAAAGCGTAAGAATCCTTCCCCTCACAGAACACAGATAAGAAACAAGAAATGGTCAAAATACATGGGGAGTTAGTGATAAATAATATGGAGCAAAATAGAAGGTCCACCTGCCAGGGCGAGTGCAGTTCTACATCAGGGGGTCAGGAAAGGCGACATTTGTGAAGAGACCTGAAGGAGGGGAGGAGTGGGCCTGACTCATGCCATAAAGTCACTTATTTCTACTGTAGGTAATTTAATGCCACGTCAGCTTGGATGGCTCGGCAGGTTGGAGCCTGGGTTCCTCTTCATCCCAGATCCCTTATCTCACTCACTGCGTCCTGGCCCTGCTTGCTGGGAGGTCTCCAGCCTCAGGCAGGGGAGGCCCCTGGCATTGAGCGTGAGAACTTTCCTTAGCTGCCTTGAGAGAATGGACAGGGACCACCTAGGGGGACCCCAGCTGTTGCTGGTTCATTTGTGTTTGGATGAGCCCTTCTCCCCCTGGAGTCAGCCACGATTTTCCAGATTCCTAGTTCCAGCTCAGCAAAACCCCCACTTACTTTCCCAGGGATAGACACTGAACTCAAGGGGATTAGTCTCCACTACTCCCATCTCATAAGCCCTGTGTCCATCTCCCAATCAGCATCCTCACTCTAGAACTGCCACTTATCCAGAATCCCTAAACCCTGGAGGAATTCGATAGGATCCAGGAACATATCAAGACTCTTCAAATTCAGTGGTCCTTACTGAGAACTTGCAGATTCCAGAGGACACTTCTGGAACCCCGAAAGCTACAGACCTCCAGAATGCTGGAATTCGGGGGCAGATCTCTGGCCCCAAGAAATAGAGCAGTAGTTCTCCAGAACTGTCAAACTTAGAAGAAGGTCTTTGGTACCTCAGAACATTAGAATTGGGAGCAGCTCTTGGAAATCCTGAAATTCGGATTTCCCGGAATGCCAAATACCTAAAAGACCTGTCTGAAATGTTGAAACATTGTATAGCAGTTGAGAGGGGGTCCTCTGGGCTCTTTGGCTGGAGGTAGAAATGTTCACCAGAGCTGAGTTTCTAACCTTGAGTTTCTAGAATGCTGGCAAATCTAGAGAGCAACCTAGACGTCTGGCAGCCTGGCTGAGTTCTCTGGATCCTCGGGGATGCCGACTCTTAGCCCGTGCAGATGGATTGGCAGAAAGCACAGACTTCAGGAAGAGCACTCCTGTGGGTGCTTGTTTTTAAAAGGCTTTAAGGTCTTATCTGGGCAACCAATCCCGAGATAGACTATGTTTGTTTATTTGGTTTTTTTTTGTTTTGTTTTGTTTTTTTTAAGCAAACAAACATGGTGGAACAGGGGTGGGCAGGTAGAGGTCGTCTAGCTATGAAATAAGAAGCGGCAGCTACTGGAACTTGTGGACGGGTCGGGGCTGGGGCTGGAGACCAGGATTGGAGTCGGAAGACCTGGGTTCTGAGCATGCTGTGTAGACCTACAATGCAAGCCGGACAAGCCCCCAGGCCATCACTGACATCTACAGCAGCTGGCCATCAAGGAAGACCTTGGGAAGTTAGCCGGAGGTGTCTTCCTCCAGAACCTTCATTCGACTCATGGCTCTGATCACGCTCTCTCTCACCCATCACACATTGACTAAGCCTCTGCTGGGAGGCCAGGTCTGCTCTACAGGGCGTGGGGGACACTGGCCTGACCTTAACCCACTGCCCTCCTCTCAAGGAGCTTCCAATCAAGTGGGGGAAAAGGACAATAAAGTGAGTTGCTAGTACTGGAATAAATAACAATCAGCAAATTTCCCAGTACTTGGCATGTATTAACTCATTCGTTTCTCATAACTTCTGTGAAATAGGTGCTATTATTATCCTCATCTTGCAGTGAGGACGCCAAGGCAAGAAGAGGTTTGGGAACTTGCCCAAGGTCACACAGCTAGTAGGCAGCGGAAGTGGCATTGTTTGCCAGAGTGGTCTGGCCCCTGAGGAGGTACTCTCAACCACCATGCCAAGTGCCACCTAGTAGGACCACAGGGGAAAGGCAAATAGAGGGGCAGTTCCCATCCTGCTCAGGAACTGGTGCGCACACGAGGCAGCCTCCCTGGAGAAGCTGGTCTCCAGCAAAGCCCAGCACAACCCAGCGAGGCCAGACCATGCAAAGGTCTTTGGTGAGTCTGAGGAAGGGGCTCCCCAAGCTCTTTTCCCTTCATGGAGGAGCCCTCACCACCCCCAAATAGAAAGGAATTCTTTACAAACTACCCAATGAAGCGGGATTCTGGGCAGTCTGAGCTAGAACCAAGAGAATTAGAAATGGACCACTGAAGTGCAGCCGCTGTGTGGGGGGCAGGGTCCTGGGTGGAGAGCTGGGCGGTCTCCATGCTACAAACCTTGGGCAAACCCACTCCCACGCTCAGCCTCGATCTGCCGGACTCACAGCCATGGAAGCCTGGGCAAGGCAGTTAAGGTCTCTGAACCTCAGTCTTCTCCTCTGTAAAATGGGGATGTGGTTGGTTTACCCTTTGAGAAGTTAATAATAGGGGCTGATGTAAGGATTGAAAGAGTGGATCCATAAAAGCTGTTTAGGACAGAGCCTGGCGTGCGGTCAGTGCTAAATAAACCTTAGTTGTTATTACTATTTTTTTTTATTACTAGCGGAGACTGTCAGCACAAACGTTCTGCCATTCCAGAACCCTTGGGAGAGGAATTGCATCAATATCTGGACTCTGGTTAAACTGACTCACGAACTCGT